ACATGAACTAAGAACTAAAAACAGTTACAAAAGACTGACAACCACTAAAATATCGGCTCCCAATTTGTGACAGTCACACATAAAGAATGAAGCTGGTTTAAACATTGGTGTGAACCCTCAATCATCCCCAAACAATGAACAGGTGTGTAATGGTGCAATATTAGAAAAAAAACACTGTAAAAATTATCAGATCGGCAAAAAGCACAAAAAACAACTAACACCAGGACAAAAGACACAAAGTGCATATTTACGAGTTCTCGTAAAATGAAGTTTTCAACAAGTTATTATTATTACGATTTGAATGTTTATTGTAGTTTTTGTTTATAAAAGTATTACCGAAGCATATGTTAGACTCGAATTTATGGGTAAAACCCAGCTGTGTCTTATTGTGGAACAAAGCATCACTTAACTTCTGTCTACCATTCAGAGTCTTGAAGAAGAAAAATGTTTTGTTATTATACAAAAATAAAATTTCTTCCTTCAATCTTGAAATAGAATTTTTTTAAATCAAAAATGAATTTGACTTACCGGGAAATAATTACATTTGTAAACTTTAATACTTTATTATTCGAAATGTATAGCAATACTCTTTAATATTCGAAAGCATGTGACAGAGTAACGCTATTCGGAGATGAAAGTCAATTCACAGATTAAAACAGTTTTGCAGGTTTCAGCCAATCAGAACCCATGGTAACACATGCATTAAGCACAAAACGTGTTATAACGAAATAACGAAGAATGTTTATTGAAAAACTTAATTTTCACTTTTGTGGACATACTGATTTAAAAAAAAAGTATAAATATTTAATTTGATCAAATGAACAAGGGGATGTTCTGTAATAAATTGTGTCACCCTTTGATTGGTGACAACATAGTAATAGCAACCTTATTTGTAAAGGAAATAGAGGTTTGACCCAATAAAAATGATTACTCTTGGCTAACAGTTGGAAAACCAAATTAGTTACGAAGCTGAAGTGCACTGAAAACCAAGTGTTTCCAAAAATGTGTTCCAAATATGGTTTATGCGATCTATATATGGATGCAGAAAAACCTCATTATTGTTAAATGTCTTTAACCTTTTGGAGCTGTAGATTTACAGAATAAGTTTTATTTAATTAACCCTAAAATGAAAAAAATTGTACGACTTGGGCAAGCGACTACCGCAATACGTTTTCATGACGTTAACAATCATAAAATTAAGATCCTGAATATTAAGAACTCGTTGAGACGACTTCCTATGCTTAACTGACTTATATCAAGCCACAGCCATATATTCAATAATGACTGTGAAGGATTGTTAGCAATAATGAGGGAAATCTTTATTCCTGTTAGTATAGCTAAGCACAATCTTTCAAATGTGGTGTTTTTGCGTTCATCCTTTGTTAAAGATAAATTGCAATAAGCAATATCATATTATTTGTTCACAGAATCTAGTTGACCTAACGTATATATACAAGCAATAGAATTGTGAAATGCACATAAGTAGGAAAATAAAACATTTAATTATCAGGATATCTACAAAAGGGAGAATTGCGAAGAGGTGATTGATAGTGTCGTAGGCTGTTTTTGAGTCCCTTTTGGTTAAAAAGGCTGATATTTGAGGATTGAAAAATGCATTAATAAATGGAGAATGTGTCCATGGGACACAGATGATGCTCCCGCTTGCATATAATGTTATAAAGGGCATAACTCGGGAACGATAAAAGTGACGCCACCCAAATTCAAACTTGATCTGTATTTTGTTGAAATAAGTTTTATAACATTTGGTTGAGGCAAACAATGTTGGGACGTACGGACGTATGGACGAAAAAGGGTAACACCTAATGCTCCCTCCGGTGACGGTGGGGGCATTAAGACGAATGATCTTCGATGATCAGTCTACCCCAAGTGGATCGTGAGGACAAGCTGTATTCAGACTTCTTTATGATAAAGGTAGAAAACTACGCAAGTGGTTTTTGTTTGTTGGGCAGAACATTTGCTGAATGCATTGATGGTTGCACATCGACACACTCTCTAGAAATAATATGACCCCACAACATATTTTGTTTCTTCATAATGGCACTTAATAGAATACAGTTGGAGATTGGCATGATGGCAAACATACCAAAGACATGTGCAAGATGGTTAAAGTGGTCTTCAAAAATGACACAGGAAATCGAAATGTCGTCAACATGTTCCGGCATAGATTTTCAATTCATACACGTTCGAACATAAGATATCATAGCCGGAAATTTAATAAGGTTATTTATTAATCAAAAGACGTTTTTTTTTAAACTGTAGAGTTTGAGTTATAAAAGTACTATATAACATTTTGACGTTTCTCTAATGTGGCATTAAGTAAAATTAATAAAATATTAATTACATTAAAGATACATATAAGTCAAATAAACATTATTAAGAGAACAAATTACATCATGTCATTTCCTTGATTATAATTACAAGATTACAATAAAAGCACATAAAATAAGGTGAAGTAAAATTATATCCCGAACCTAACATGAAAGTTGCACAAAGTCTATGCTATAAAGAAAAACAACACATTTGAATGTCAATGCAAAATGTTTAGATAGTTAGGTCAATATGTTGGGTAAACTTGAAATTGTATAAAGTCTCCATCAAATTCAAACTTGTTTTGTTGACTTGTTTTTTCCATTTAAATTTTGTGTCTATCGACTATAGTTTACTAAAAATATGAAAGGGCAAAACTCACCATTTAGGTATAATAACTCCTTCCTATTAGAAGCTGGTTTTTGGTCATATTGACTTATTTGTAGATCTTATTGTGTAAAACAATTTTATTATTTAAAGTTTCTTTCTATCTAGTCTCTGCAAACCTCACAAAAATGGGAAACAACACGTCAATCAGGAGCAATAAATCCTAAGATGGATCAATTGACGATTTCATCAATCTTGCTTATTTGTATTTTGCTGAACATTTTTGTATTGTACAGTTTATTTGTATCTGTATCTGTGATAGTTTCTTTAAATGACACAAAATAGGGGGAAATCGTCTTTCAATGTAAATACCTCCCAAAAGGAGTTAGTTGACAATTTCAGCCATATTCACTCAATTTTAGACCATATTGTGCTAAAAATGTTCACTACTTACATTTGCTCTCTATTTATTAAAGTTTCTGCAAAAACGAAAACATCGTGTTTCAAAAGCATGAAAACTCCTATAAAGTGTCATTTTACGATTTCGGTCATTTGATTTATTTGTTTATCTTATTTATCTGGTTATTTGCATTATTTAAAGTGTTAATCTATCTATTATAGTTTTCAAGGTAATAACCACAAACTGCAAAATTTACCAAAAGTGGACATTTCAGAGGTAATTGCTTACAAATGAGTTGTCTAGTTTTTATTTTTTTAATTTTATAGATGATAGTCATTGACCTGCTGATCATTTTACCCTGTACGTTTTTCCCTTACTGCTTAACTTTTTTTTATATAAGCAAAAACTACAGTTTTACCCCTATGTTCTCTTCTTAGCAACAGCGGCGATGTTTGTTGATTGGGCAAATTGCCGGATAGTTTTTAGTAGTTTCAAATTTACATCGGCGGATGGACGGTCATTGCAGTGGGTCAGGTGAACTAAAAAAAAAAGAAACTCAATAAGTTAGGAACATTTGTTTCTTTACAGAATCTTATTACATTGGGGATTCAGCTATTTGAAAACGCAGATAAAGAGGTATACTAAATACAAAGTATTGAATAAACCCTTTTCAGATAAAATATGTTACAACTAGAAATCAAGCAACTAAGTTGGATAAGAAACAGTCAATTTCCAATTTGGTATTCAGATAATTTAAATTTGTCTTCATTAGCAATAAAACGTCGTATAAAAAAGAGGCGGAATATACCAAGGGACAATTTTCATAAGTCGAAGATAAACCGGCAATACAAGAGAGGCGAATGATGCCAAAGAGACATTCAAGCTCATAAGTCGAAAATAGACTGACAACGCCATGACCAAAAAAGAAAAAGACCAACAGACAAACAACAGTACGCAAAACACAACATAGAACACTAAAGACTGAGCAACACAAACCCCACCAAAAATTGAGGGTGATCTCAGTTGCCCCGGAATGGTAAGCAGATCCTGCTCCACATGTGGCACCCGTCGTGTTGCTCATGTAAGTATAAATCCAGTGATAAGTCTAATTCGGTAGGTCAAATTCGGAGGAAAGCGGACGGGATTGTAGTAACGAAAATTGGAACATATCCGTCGCCATCTGTGAAACAGATATTCCATTAGGGTCAACCAACTCGGTATGGCGTCCGTAAAGTTTAGAAAAGGATGATTTCAACTTCACCACTTGGAAATCTTGGTTTAATAGCTTCCATGTGAGTAGCAATCCTCTATCAACGAAATCATGATGGGAAATACCAGACCTGGAATATCGTATCAGCTATTCTACAAAACTCTACACTAGAATACTTCGCAACACGAACCCAACGAAACGTCGCGATGATATCAGATGCTATGTAATGGATAGTAGATGCTGTTTCACTTGTAGCATAGAAATATTTGTATATAAGATGTATTATACATAGAAATCGAAGAAACATTTGGATTATGCGTTTGCTCATATCTAATTTTATGCAATTCGTTTTTCGGGGGTGAAATGACTAACATGACGCAACTATGTTTATTATGACACGTTTATGACGAAAGACGTTACAGTGGCTGAATCAATAATCCTTTGAGAGAAGGTAAAATCATCCTTTTCATTTATCGATAAAATTCATAGTGTAACAATGTTGGGAGAATGGAAAATTTTTAAATTGCAGGGTCTAAAATTGTTTTCGTCATATCTTTCGACAAAAGAGATATCAACAGTTATTTCATTGTAAACTTTTTTTATGTCACCTGGATAGAGATTTTACGCTATTATATGTTATTCTGGTTTTTCAAATGAAATATGAGCCCGTAACCTCTGTGAAGCCTGAATAGCAATTATATTATACTTGAGTGTTCTGATTTCAACATTAATTACCTTTTTGATCGTCGTTCACATGGGATATGGGCTCCTTGGGAAGTGATGACTGCTCACCATTAAGTTATTCAAACAGAGGCTCGAAATGGCTTTTATTTCTAGGGTGGAAATAGCTGCTCACCAGTAATCTATTCAATCAAAGTCTATTAATGGTAAAGTGCCTGTCGTCATTTCAACCACCACCATAACCACTAGTTTCTTCAATGCTGTCGAATAATATAAATAATAAAAACAAGTATGTCAAATTTTTCCTTTTGCATTCCAGGCCACAATCTTGCATTTTGCGCTTAACTGTCTTTTAGCATAATAAATTACATACGAGTGATATACAGGATGCTGTTAAATATGTCCTGTAACAAATTACCTGCTTTACTCTTTTCTTTTTTTTTTATCAAATGTTTGAAACATCATAATCTTCCTTCAAAAGTCAAAAGCTAACCAGAATACAAAGAGCAGTGAACAAGACACTGATCACCATTCTTTCGTATAATCATATGCATTTTTTTTTTAGAATGTGGTTTTGTGAATGTTTTATAGAACAGTTTGCAAGTCTCAAAATGCTAATTTTCTTCAGCAATTCTTCCATTTATTCCTGCAATGATAAGATAAAACATCCTCCAATAAAAATTATAGAACTGTACTTTCCCAATCTCATATCCAGAAATGATAACCAAACAAACATTGCTAAACAGTTCTAAATTACACGTTAAACATTTTTTTTGGTAGCTTTCTCGAAAACGTACTCTGCTTAACTGCGGCCAAGCTTAGCGAAAGGCCGTGCGACATAATCAGTCAAACAAACCTTATTACATCAACTCGTTAAGGATCGATCGTTGTCATTGGTCAATTCAAACCTTCGACCTCAAATAAACTTTCAAGCCCCGCCCAAGCACACTTGCGAAAAAAGAACACGCGTACAATAAACGATCGAAAGTTGAATGGACTGATCACGTACAGGATTGTGTACTTGATTATCTCATGGCAATTCTAGCTTATATACATGTACATGTAAAATTTATTTATATTATAATTTAGTGCAATAGTTCTAATAAAGTCCTTTGTTTCAAATTTTTGAAATTGATAACAAAGACTCTTTAATAACGGGTTTCCCGGCGAAATATTGAATCCAACTGTCTCCTCTCAAATAGTTTTGGACTAACCCCGTGCCCAGTTTTTTTATCTGTTAAGTTATATCGTTATGTCTTTGCAATGATACCAAATTAGGAAATATGAATGAAAATTGCTCGGATGATGTAGGATAAACGTAAATGAGACCGTAACTTCAAAATTACTCAAATTACATAATAAAGATATTGCACGATTTTACAGTAAATAGGATTGTGAAATAAACTGCTCATTATTCATAATCTTTCGTCAGTATGTCATAGCCTCCTCCTCGACCCTCAAACTAGGCTCACTTATTCAAAACCTTTTTTATAAATATGAAACTACATAGAAAAAAAAATTGAATCCCATAGACTAGTTATAAATGACAACTTAAAATTTTACATCATTTCATGGCATAATCCAGTTGCTTTTTAAAACAGGGAAGCCTGGGGTTTTAGGGAACGACTTATGATAGTGTGATTTTTTTTCAGTTTACTTGATTTTGAAAACAAATCCCGAAATTCTAATCAAATTCAAAGCAGGTAACCATGTTTTGTTTGGAGATGACAAAATTTTGGCCGCAGTGAAAGGAAATGTACTTAATGTAACTCCGGCGATATAGGTGATATAGGTGATGGATTTTTAATTCATGATCTGTTTTGCTGTTCTCAGTTGAAAAACGAACGTAAATTATATATTGTAAATATTTTCATATACCAAGTACTATGTAAATTAACTCACTGTTTGGTAATGAAAAACAATCAGTTTAACAGGTTATTATACATGTATGATTTTTTACTTCATTTTAACCTCATTGTTATAAGTTTACTGAGAAACATACAATATTAATAGAAATACAATAAAATTGAATGTAAACAAATTCAGTATATATAAAATAAGGAGATGTGGTATGATTGCCAATTGGACAACTATCTATCAAGGTGATATGTAGTATGCTTATTTGAAATTAAGTCACAATGTTATCAAGACGAAGTATTTAAAAAAATAATTCATTAGCGGATTCAGATGTAGGATACTGGTATTACTTATAGAAAGATATTTTATTCTAATATTCTTAGTTTTGGAAGAATAAAATATCTTTCTATATGTACTTGTAACGATGTTACATTTCAATCCTTTTTACACAAACATTTTCGTAGTAACCATGATAGTACCATATATATCTATGATAGTACCATATATATCTATGATAGTACCATATATATCTATGATATTACCATATATATATCTATGATAGTACCATATACATCTATGATAGTACATTCCATACAACGTCAATTGTGTCAAACACTTGCACAATACGATCATTGATGTTTCGTTTCTACTTTTCGGTGAATGAATGGGACAATTTGTTTCGTTTGTGATACGTTATTTCTGAATGACCAAACGCTTAGCTTCTGTATGTTCGTGTAGAGCATGAAAACAAAAGAGACATGTGTAACCCATCATAAATTATTATTATTATGATATCCTTATTACATGTAACTACGACATTGTCAGGACAATAACCTAAGATATGATTGTATCCCATCAGTGTGAAAGAATATTAAAAGTGGTTCATGTATTCATCCGTAGGGCACATGTATTCATCCTTATATTTTTTCTTGATCCGGTACATGATAATTATGTTGTTGCATAAAGAACATTACTAAATAAAAAAATATCACAAGAATAATATTTTGACCCCACTATCTGAAAATCAGGCGACAACACAGCATTACAAAAACATTTATTTAATTCTTTTTACGTTCGTAGTAACATAGTACATTCCATTGTCGGTCAGCTGTGTCAATTCACGTGCACACTACAATTGTTGTTGTATCTGAATCTTTCGGCCAATGAAATGGGACGTTACAAGTTGTTTGTTTTTGATACACCAGAATGTTATCAATGAATAATCAAACGCTAAAGTTGACTGCAGTTCAGTGTAAAACTTACAAAAATCACATTGGTAGTGTAGCCGACATATAACTTGTCATGTAATCAATTTCCAATTAAAGTAATAGCTTACGTGATAATTTTGTGTTTATTTTTTCTAAGTCTTTCTATGAAACTGTTCTATTTCATCTTTTTAGATCGTGATTGTATTTCAAAATAATGGGGAAACATTTCAACAACAAAATGTGACCGAAGCACAAATTAAATTCATCAGTAGACAAAGAACAGACTTATTTTCAAAGGATAAGTTATATACTTTAAGTTATGATACATTAATGAAATGTACTGTTGCTATTTTGTTATTTGCCACCGTTAGGAATGTGTCTGCAGCATGATAACATCTGACGGTGTAAAATAATTCTAAACAACACAAATATTTACAAATGTATCAAAACGGAAACATATTCGATTACATGTCTGTAAAGAACGAACTTGATTTTTTTAACAGCTTAAAAAAAATATTTATGTGAGACGTTCATATAACTTTATAAAAGTGTTGTTTATCCAGGTAAATACAACAGGGCTATCTTTCTAACCATTTACTTTTTATTTCGGGGTAATTTTGATTATTATGTAAACCCCTTTAACGAAAGAAAATAAGAAATGTAATATATTTTTTAAGTCACGGTTGAAACTTAATCCTTATAAGAGACATTTAATGGAAGTTAACGAACTATTGTTTGCCTCTATATGTGCAATGATATAAGAAAATAAACAAACAAATTTTAAAAAATCAGTATGACTGTGTTAAGATTCTACCACAAAAGATTGTGGAAGAATATGATTTAATATTTGCCAAAAAGTTTCGTTTTTGCAACATTAAGTCGGATAAAAGCTGTATTAAATAGAATAGCGAAATCCAAATTTTATTAGCAAATGGGACTCTGAATTATATAAAATATATGTCACACAACAGATAATAGTCTGTATCTAACACAGCAAATATTATGGAATTTTCCAGCATTAAATGTTTTAAAGAGATCAAGTAAATCATGTTCTTTTCCCTTTTGCGTCGCATTTATATGAGAGTGAATTTGAAAGTTGCAGTAACATAAAGAACATTCACATATTATAAAATACTTCCCGTCTCTTTTTCATCTTTTTATCAATTCAAATAAGTATCAAAAAGCCTTTCATTCCTAACAAAAGCAACAACTTTACATTAAATGTGTGCAAATGTTGTATACCAATGTCTGTGCTATTTAAATATATTCATGTAGTAAACACGTATACGTAGGAAAAGCTAATAATTGTTTTCCAATCATGCAGCCTCTGTATCCATAAAAATAGAAAATTCCCTTTGGGGAATGGTCATTATTTATCAGCTGAGGGGGTCGGTTCAAATTTTTCACATTAAAAGGTTTTGTTGGCAACCCCCCCATGATTCTTATGAACCACATAATGACCCCCCTGAGAACATAGTTTCAAAAGTTTGACCCCCCCACATCAAACAAAAATCTCTATTGATTAACAGTTGGGAGAAGATGATGACTGCAAGCTACAATGTAAAAAGTTGCAGGCATTGACTTGAAAAATAGCTATGAGAAGTATGTGGACATTAACACTATCCATAACAGAATATGGCATAAAGGGGTTTTCCTTGATTGCAGTACTCATTTTCTTTGATTTTGAACTGATATTTCATAATACATTCTACACTATAGTTCTGTTATTTTATATAACATGTATAAGTAGCTTGAACTAATTAATTTGATAAAGATAATTTACTTTGTCTGGTTAGCAGTCATTAGTAAGTGATATTCTGTAAATATTATATTGCCTTGATGTTTCATCATGACCTTCCATATTCTTTATTTTGAAGCTGATGCAACCGATCTTAGAAAACATTTTTCAGTTGTATTCTTCTTTGAGAAAACCCTGAGTATACAATAGAGTTTTTCTTCTTGTTTTTTTTTCTTTCGAATATGAATAGCTGACATATGCAAGAAGAAAAATGGACAAAATAAGCATTTAAATGAAAACAAATATATATTTCTTTTTTACCTGAACCTTTATGAACAGAATGAAGTCATACCTTAATACAGATTGTCCCTGATTTTGAAACTGCTAATTCTTAAAAAGTTAAGCTTTTAAAGGCACAATTAGCCAAATTTGTTTATATACATGAGCATGTGCTATTATAAATGAATGGAATGACGTAAAAAGAAAAAAAAACAGAAAATTCTTTGTTCCAATTTATTTGAATGCAACCTATAATTCTACAATATTATATATATAACCTTTCAATAATGAATTTCCCTCTGTTATGAATAAATGTAAATTTACTTTCTGACACAGAATTATTTGTGAATGAAAAACCATTAAAAAAAAAGAGAAAACATGGCTCAATTCTTTTAATGTCTTTATTAAAATTTTGAAGTTTTGTAAATGCTTTTTGGATTTTAATTTTCTTATCATATAGTAATTTTTTTTTATTTCAATCCCAATGCAACTGAAAATAACACATTACAAATATTACTAATTGTATGGTTCTAGTCCTTCCTGGATCAAATATGTACAAAAATG